ATATGAAAAATGTATGAGGCTGGCTTCCTGACTGAAAGGTCTCTCAAACCGAAGCATGCTAAGAAACAATTTGTGAATATATATATATATAGCCTGTTGGACAAGGCTGCGCGCAGGAAGCGCGGCAAGTTCCTGGAACATGATGAGTCTCAGTCTGTCCCATGACTCAGTGTGCCAATTTTTATTTGGCGGTCCCAAGCAGCCAGTAGCCAGGAACAGGTGGACAGGAGGCGCGCTTTTGTCGAAAAAATTGCCACGTCGTAACAAACAACGTGCAAAGAGCTACCTGAGAAACAACTTAGCAGCTCAAAGATCGAAGCGCAAAGCCTTGGGCATCAAAATCTGAGCTTTGAGCCACATGAGGTGCAAGAGCTACCTGAGAAGTGCGAAGTAAAAAAAGCTATCAAAAGCTCCATGTCAAACACACCCACTGAAGGGGGGGTCCCGAGGCCTTGGATGGGATGCTCTCGATAGCCAGCATCTTCAGAAACGGCAAGGCTTCACAGGTGTCTTCGCATAAGTCCGCATCTGATGACAGTGTGTTGAACTGTTGACAGTATGCTTGATTCAGCGTGAGCTTGGATGGATTTTTGGAGCCAGTGCTGGCTAGCAAGAAGATGTGAGCTCATCTAGCATGTCAGAAGATGTCAGGCAATACCTGAAGGCAAAAGCAAGTGCTCCAAGGCTCCAAGCCAGCAAATCCAAATTTTGACTTCGCTGTGCAAGGTTGGAGCTTCTGGTCCAGTCTGTGCAGCTGCTCTCCACATGATCTTCATCATGTCTGGTGCCCCAGCTGCACGTGTGCACGTGGCGCTGCGGCGCTCTCCGAACTCGGACAACTTCGGTCCATCTCCGATCACAGCACGGAACTGCGGGCATTTTTGGCCACTTAGGGACCGCTGTGCGGATCTGTTGGATCATGGCCTCATCCAAACCATGTTGTGATGTATTGATCTGTAGTTATTGTATGTCATTGTATTGTAAATGATTGAAACTTGAAACCCACAAAATGGAACCGCTTGGGCTGGAATTGATGGCCACGGAAAAGACTATAGACTACCAATGATGGTCAATGTAAACAAAAGAGCTCCCAGCAGGCGCAGGTCTTGAGGGCCTCCCTGGCCCTCCAAAGTGGGGCGTGACGGGACCTGAAATCTGGGGTCAAGCGTAGAGGCTTTGGTCTGCTTCGCATCACAAACATCAAGCAGCGTCAGCAGGCTAGGCACATGCAAGCAGCATGTCGGGTTAGTATGTATTCGTTTAGTATGTGAATAAGATCATGCAAAACCACATCTTCTAGACCTTGACCCTCCCAGCTTCTGTCCATGACCGAATTTGTAATACGACCACAGAGAAAAGCTTTGTGAAACCTAGATCTCAAGCAATGCAAGTCCCACGTGAGCAGTGCAGCAACTTTGAGTCAGCACTTTACTCCGCGGCGTCTGCAGGGAAAAATATTCATCGTGAATATCCGAGGTCAAAGCTAGCTAGACTTTCAGCTGGGATGAGCCCTCATCAAATCTCATTAACTCATGGCATCTTATGGCCCCTCTTCTGGAAAGTGGGCACTCCCAGCTGAGGTTCTTGGAAAGGGTTTCACGCAATTGAATTAGGCAAAAGGGTCCGAAGGACCTCGTGATCTTGATTGGGAAATGGAGGGAGGGATATGGAGGGATGACATCAGGCACATTTGGACCCAAAGAAACAAACACATTTTAGACGTCTAGACTTCCAGAGTGTTTCTCGGAATCCTGCAGCCATGTTCATGGGTTTAAATTCCCAATCATCGATATACTTTGCTATGCTTTGCGTGTGGCAAGAGGTTGCCCAGACCGCCTTCCGGCAGTCAGATCCTGTCCCTTTTTGGATCAAAAGGCGGTTGCAAAGACTGCAATGGTCTCTCGCACTGGCCCAAAAGGGTTGATGAATCTGTCGTAATTAGGAGCGATCGGACGTTACGAACGGAGCTCCTGGCCTTACTACTAGGAACAAGAAGCTACTAGGGGCTCCTGGCATCGCTACGAACGGAGCAAGGACGCTATTAGGTTGGAGGCCATCGCTATTAGGTTGGAGGCCATCGTCGCTTCTCTGAACCCCTTGAAATCCCTTCAAGCTTTCGGTCTAGCTACTTGTGGTCCAAGAAGTTGTCTTTTGGGCGAGTGAACCTGCGCTTTGCGAACTCTCCTTTACAATATGATGCTTTTACAGCAAGGTCCAAGCACTCATGCCATGGACCTGGATCTTGTGCAACAGGATCACACAGGAGATGCAACTGTTAGGCTTGTGCACTGAGGCTCATGCAAGGTGGCTGTTGGGCATTTGGATGCCGAAGATTCGGTTGTCACCTGGATAAGTGTGGACAAACAGACTTGTTGAAACCGATTCAAAGAAACACTTGCAGTCGTTTTTCGCCAACTCATTGATCCAGAGTATTTTAGAGTTGTGTAAGGGTCGACCCGAAAGCGATTTGTGGGCAGTACACCAACACTGCCCAGACTGCCTTTGGCATGAAAGTGCCGAAGAATCTGGAATGTTGCGAAAACCTTCAGTATTTTCAGTTGACACAAAGCGTTCTGTCACAAGAATCTTGAACTGTGACAATATGATTGATCACTTCACAGCAACAAGGGATGAGTGGCCAAGCACCTAACAATGAGTGCTTCTGCAGCTCTGCAAGTACATCTACTGTATCCACTTCCGCCTGGAATACCAGGGCTGTTCTTTAGGTCTGACTCTGCAAAGGCATCTTAGCTACTGCTCTGCCACTCTCTACCTGCGCGGCTGAAGGGGCCGCGACTCTTTCTTCAGGTTTGTGAGGAGAGGCCTGATCAAAGCAGTCGCTGGATTCTCGATATTCGCCAAAACAGCACGATTCTGAGTTGCATGACATTTCTCCATATTTCTCCCAAGCTTACCCAGTCAGTTTGGGCTCCAGCCAAGAACTCATAGCACATCCTTGCGACGACAAAATTGCTCCTGGGCAGCAGTAGAGTTCTCGATCGCAATAAGGTCACAAACTTGACGGGCGGACCCATCGTATTGCTTGGTCTGAAGTTGTTCCCTCGCTCTTGCCAAGAATGCTTCCTGCACGTTCACAACGGAACTCGCATCACTGACAAGGTGTTCTATCCCATGAATACCAGGCCACAAAACTCTCATTTCAATAGCACGGCTTCTCAGGAACAGGGCCCCTTTAATCCTTTTTATATATTTTTATCTTAAACTAAAACAAATCGAAAGCTCTAATAACCCTGATATTGCTTCGCTATGCTTTGCCATACTTCTCCTTGAGTTCATCAGCAGAAGCCCCGCGAGGAGCTCCCAAGATCTGGTGGCAGTCCACATTCGACACCTCGCGGACGACTTCGAAGCCAGCGTCCAACCCCCCCCGACCGCTTCTCGAGACTGATTTCGGCCCTGCGAAGACTGCTTCGTGTGGAGCGGAGTAGGCATGTAGACACACTCTGCACAACGAAAACTGATAATTCAGTGTCGCAGTGACGCCTCCCTTGGACCGGTCGCCAGAACACCAACCAAACCATCGTAGCGACTTCGCACGCCATGTTTGCACCGCGTGGCTCGCATGTCCAAGAGAAACGCTATTAAGTAAGGCTGTTGTAGCGCAGAAGCAGCAACGGAAAAGGCAACGACGACAACACGCCAGCACAAGTTGACCTGCACGGTGAAAGCTCGATGTTGTGGTCAAATCAAAACACTGCGATTCAGTAAGGATCACATTCAAAGAAGAAGAAGAAGAAGAAGAAGAACGCCAACCTTTTGGATTTACAAAAAGAATGCACATGCAAACAAATAACACAGGCATATTTCATCCTGAGACTTAAGGATCCCAGGCTATCCCTGCAATCAGGGGCTTGGTGATCAACACCCACGACCGCCGTAGGTCTCCACCTGCTTTGGGAGGAAGTCCACCTGTTTTGCGCTGAGATCGACAGGTGGCCTCGGTTGCACGTTTTGGTTCATTTTGTCACAAGCTACAGTCCATCGGTGAAACACTTCAGTGAACTAATTACGGTACTACACTCTCCTGTTTCAGATGTGACCCTAAGCTGCGAAAGGGAGAAGCGCGAGCAAGTCTATTTCACATAGCCAGTCACATAAGCATTTGTTAGAGCTCTGGGTGCTGGACCGTAAGGGTACCCACCATGGCCTCCGTTCCAAGTTGCCAAGCAGTTGTCAAAGGCAAATCCGTTTCTGCGATAAGTCCGTCCATTCGCCTCTGTTGCTCCGCGAACAGCTTTGTGGCTCTGATGCGACGAGCCTCAAAGAGGGGTCGACTTTACATGTATAAAGAAGAAACCATGTAAAAAAAAGAGGAAAAACTACTAACGATGGCCTCCAACCCAATAGGAATGGCCTCCAACCTACTAGCGATGGCCTCCAACCTAAGAGGGGTTGATCATGGTTGATCCATGTTGATCCATGAGTTGCTGGAGGGTTCCACGCAAAGGACGTCTTCTTGTGGGAAACAACTCTTGATACTTCATGAACTTCTGACCCAAAGGACCATAGGCCTCTCTTGCGATCTGGCGTCGCTGTTGCTTCATGGCCTGCACAGCTGCTTGTGCCTCAGCTTCCACCCCCTTGCACAATTCAGAGACAAATCCTTTCGGTCTCCAGCCATTTGGACGTCCTTCAGAGCTGCAAAACTACCAGATCCTATGCTGTTTGAGCAAAATTCTCCTCCGTGCCAGGGTGAGAAAGGAATTGTGCAATCATGGGCTGAGCGCGTCGGTGCAAGTAACCCTGCATACCGTCATGCCGTTCCCACATGCCGTCTCATTTTTGCTTCGTCCTTGCTGAGCCTTGTGCTAATGTCACAATGCCGCTAAGATATCAATGTAAGTTCTAGATTCTAATGCTCGTTGGGTAACTTGGGCTTCTAATGCTTCCTCTGTCAGTCTATTCTTTTCAATTCACTGTGTGCATGTCTCTTTCTACGTCCTGTTGTCCTACGAACTATAAAGCAATTCTAAGCCCTTTGAAGCGTCCTAGGAACAAGCTACTAGGGGCTCCTGGCCGTACTACTAGGAGCAAGGACGCTACTAGGGGCTCCTGGCATCGCTACTAGGAGCAAGGACGCTACTAGGGGCTCCTGGCCTTACTACTAGGAACAAGAAGCTACTAGGGGCTCCCATCGCTACTATAAGCCCTTTGAAGCTGGAGGCTCGCTGTCGTCACTCGAATCGCTTTCAGCTGTTCTTTCACCTGGCAGAAAGGACCAGCAGAAACGCTCCGATCTCACACCTCGTCTCGGCGGACCTTTTTGCATGGGCAATCTGCTCCCCAGGCGAGAGCCAAGTGCGCCACCACCTCCCCCATCGAAACGACGGCGACGGCAGCGGACATGTCGTTTTTGGAACCGAGCTCACTTGCGCCTGCGAAGGAAAGTCCTAGAGTGAGGCCCATGCTGCCCATGCCCAAGCTGCTCATGCCTCCCATGCCTCCCATACCTCTGGCAAATGCACGGCAAGTTGGTCTTGGCGCTCGACACAAGGTCCACCTTCCATGGCACGCAATCGCGGTGCTCGCGGCTCTCCTCACAATGGACTAATCAGATCTAGTCCGTGAGTCAAGTCTGTTGGTGGATTGTTGGACCAGGGACTGTTGGAGTCGAGATGTGTCGAGTCCTGGGTTCATGCCAATGCCTTTCCTTTCCTCCTGCCTGAGAAAATTTAGCTGTCCGCGTTCAAGCTTGTTTGATGCTTCTTTTGTCAAACAAATACTTTGCAATGTCAATATGGCCCTCGATCGGCTCAGCCAAACCAGCCCACTTAGTTTCCAGCTCTTTGTCAAGACCCACTTTCGCTTCTTTGGGCTCAACTTGCAGCACAACGAAAGATGTCAAAAGCATTCAAAAGTCATTGCTTCACGTTGCTTCCGAGTGACCCTAAGACACGTCAAAGGAATGTGTGGGTGATCTATAGGTGATGTGAGTGATGTGTGCAAAACAATTAAGAGGCTCGGCGGAAAGAATTGTCGCACCTGGAGGCTCCCAATGACTCTTGAAGTTGGCCCAGGCTGGGGGCACTGAAGAGAGTCTCTTCAACAGGATGGACCTGGACTTCTCAGAGCCAGCTCTAGCTGCAACCAGAAATAAGTAGATATATATATATATATACCTGTCTAAAGGGATTCAGGGTTTTGATAAATAGCTTGTATGATTGCTGCCATCACTTGCCAATTTCTGACAAGGCCACCAATTCACGCGAGTGATGCCAATGGCTGAAGGACCTGCAAGTGAAACGTTGGCGGAGAGATGAAGGTCAGTGTGCAACAGAGGTGCGCTGAAACCTCAAGTCAAGATCACCGCAGCAATAGATGCAATAGAGCTTTAATGTGGGTGGTTAAAAACTTCTCTTGTGCTTGGCGAAGGACACACCTGCCTGACTTAGGTGCTGTTAGAACGCTGCCCAAGGCCTCTTGGGATAGTGATGCAAATGCAAGAGACGTGCAGACTTTCTGGCTAACGGAACAGAAGAAAGATCTGAGCTGACAGAAACCACAAGTCTCGTTTTGTGTCCAAAAGCGTAGTATGCCACCTTCAAGGCGTCAGCTGCAGCGATCTTGGGTGCCCAAAATCCGGGTCCTCCCACTCCGCCCCTTGCAGCCATACCTTGACTTCGCCGCTGCCCTTCGAGTTCGTCGCGAATCCCCCAGTGAAAATTACACCCGCATAGACCCAGATAGCAAAAACATGCAAAATATTTTTCTGGACCGCGCCCTGCATTGGCAGCAGCTCCATAGTACACACAGGAACCTTATTTTTACATAGCGCCGCAGTACAGTGTGGCGTGTCCCCACTATGCGCACAGCCAGCACCAGCACCCGGCACCGGTGCCCAATCTCCACCACAACAAGCACCAGCAACCTGGCACCGGCGCCCAGCACCGGCACCCTGTCCCCGCCACGCGCACAGCCAGGACCAGCGCCCAGCACCGGCACGCCAGCTCACAGCACCAGCGCCAGCGCCCAGCACCGGCACCCAGTCTCCATGACGCGCACAGCCAGCACCCCTGTCTCCACCACACACACAGCCACCTCACAGCACCCAGCACTATCACCCGCCACCGGCACCGCAGCACCCGTAACCGGCACCGGGTCTCCACCACACGCACTACCAGTTCACAGACCCAGCCCGGCACCGGCACCCTGTCTCCGCCAGCACCCAGCAACGGCACCCAGCACGGCACCCACCACCGCACCCTGTCTCCATCACGCACACAGCCAGCTCACAGCACCCAGCACCAGCACCACAGCCAGCACCAGCACCCGGCACCGGCACCCTGTCTCAAAAGCGCGCACAGCCAGCTCATTGTTATTTGAAGTAAGAACTCCATAGCTGTCGCTATCTGGGGAAATAAGAATCCAATGTGTCACATCGTGAAGTGATTGATTCAAGCCATGAGCGACGTGCAAACCTCTTGTGTGTTGTAGTGTGCACTCTTCCCAACGTTGTCGTTTTTCTGTGACCCTTATCGATCCTGAGGATTTGGACACACCTATATAACAACATGTACTAACACCTTATCTTTTTTTGTGAACCTTATCGTTCCTGAAGGTTTTCCTCATGTTACGTATATACCTACTTAGTCTTCACTGTAGTGATGCTGCCTTCATCGGAGGTTTTGGCAGTTGCTCTTGTGATTCATGGAGATTCATGATTAATATGCATGGCAGTCTTTTCTCGGTCTTGCTTAGATCGCAGCCGACTTCTGCCCATGGACCCCATTGCAAGCTCAAGGCTGGCAAGCCTCAAAAGTCTCACACTGCCGAGTCAGCGGTTGAGAATCAGCTTCTACTAGGAAGCTTTACTAATAGCATCCTTGCTCCTAGTAGTAATGCCAGGAGCTACTAGTAGCCTCTTCTCCTAGTAGCAATACCCTTTGTTCCTAGTAGCTTTATTCTTACTAAGAAGCTTCAAAGACATACTAGAATGCTTTATTGTTACTACAGGTGAAACGATTCCCAGTGAAGCGATTCCCAAGCGATTCCCAAGGAAGCTTCTAGTTATTAGAAAGCTTCAAAATCCTTGATGCAAATGTCCGTCACTCCTGGCCTTTCGCCTGACGGTATTGTGCAAAACAATCCAGGAACGAGTTTGCCGCTGCATAGTTGCCCTGCCTGCACTGGACGGTCATACTGAAATCTAGATGGCTCTCACTCCGTCACCACATCAATACATCAAAATACTTTAGAATCTTAGAAGTGCAGGATTTGTGTGCAAGTCGATCTCCGGTGTCATCTTACCGTATCTTACCCCCATGCAAAAGGACATGGCGGAGCGTACCCTGGCGAGCCCAACAGTGCTGCCACGGAAGAGAACATCAAAAACTGATCCAGGCTGGTCCCGCTCAAAGCAGCCTCGCGCAGCTGGAAATTCAAACAGCACCACTACCATGTGGACAGAATCCAAATCATCGAAATTCATCAAAAGTCTGACCAGTTGGAGGCATACTGAGTCACGGGCATGCAAATTCACTGCCCCATCCTCAATGCAGGACTCCACTTTTTGTAGTAGCATCTGATCAGCATCTACATCTTCATTCGTGAACCGTGTGCATCTCGGTGCGTGTCCATCTTCGGGGACAGAACAGGCTGCAGGTGGCTTCGCTCCATGTGGGCTATTACATGGTCCTGCGAAGAACGTGGAGCCAGTGTTTCGAAGAGCGAACACTTGAGAACCTCCAACAAGCCGGCAGCATGCACCACCCCTGGAAATGCGCAAGATCACCAACTCAAACAGAAAAGGCAATGCCTTGCCGCCCTTGCCTTTAACAGGAACATCTTGGAAGGCCCGCATAGTCTGCAGGGTACTGTCTACCTTGAATGCCCGTCTGTACATGGCAGAAAATGCCAGTGCATGATGTGCAAGTCATGCATGGGAAGGAATGTGGAAAAATCTCAACACCTACAGTTTGCGAAGAGCCTGTGCTTGTGAGGTGATGTCGCAAGCATGCAATAGCACTTGAACGCCAGTCTCGCTGCACCTGATCGGCAGGAAGTCTTGGCGCCAAGAGATTGAAGTGGCTTCCCCAAACTAAATGGAACATGTCAGTGTGACAAACGCTGCAAGTCCGCACTTTCTGGACCATCCTGGCAGCAGCTTCAGCAGAGGCTTTGTACATCATGCAATTTCAATAACTCAAAGGTTGACATTCTTTTTACATAATGTGCTTGACTCGCGGGCCTGCTGGCATTTGCCAGTTCGAGACGAAAGTGCCAAATGCGTCACTCCCTGGCGCAGGTCCGTTGCAAGAATGATACTAAACTAAATCCAACAGGATACGTTGCTGCCACTACAAGTCGACGAGGCTACTTGTGGCCAGCAATCAAATGTTGAATGCCAGCCACCTAGTCTGGTGGATCATCCTGTAGTGTCTGTCGCATTGCATTCTTCGAGAAACACTAATTGCTCTCGTTGGACATCCAAGTCCATGTAAGACAAGGTCCCAAATCAATACCTTTAGGGTCTTGGGACGTTATACGTGTGCGCAACATCGCACAACACTTGCACAAAAGGTCTTTGAAACCAGGACTGGATTGTAAGGCCCCATCTCTACGCTCAAGGACGTTCTCGACAAGTGTCCACAGCCGAACACCCCTGAGCAGCAAGGTTTACAATTCTCAGGCGTGTGGTATTGCGTCATATTGTGACGCATTGCGTGGTCCCCAAAGCTTGACTCTGGCGGGTTGGTATCGTGAGTTGGGACGGAGCCCCCCCGCCCTATTGGTGCCTGTGGCGACTACGTGACTACACGGACTTGTGAACCCACTAGTGCTTTCCTTGGTGCCTGCACCCCAAACTCAGCCTTGCAAACAACATGCCTTTTGCCAGACTATCGCCAACAAACAAGCATATTCTTACCCATGACTTGCAAGAGTGTTGAGCCGCCGTCACATCTTAGTCTGGAGTTTGTCCAAGTAGCACAATGGCTTTGTGCTCCAAGTCTCTAAGAAGGCATAAAGCTTTCTTCTCAATGAGGCCTTCTTCACAGGCACGTAGAATGACTTCATATGCATCGGTGTCAATCTCATGCTGCTTCTCCTGAAGCTCACAGAATAAGGTCAACAGGGCTGGCCAGGCACTACCTCGACTGCAGGATGTCATGGCAGCAATGTACAAAATGCCATCACTCTGTTGTGATGACTTCAAAAACCTTAGAGCAATTTGCCACTGCCCCTCGCTTGCACTGATCAAAGAGCTGTACGTAACAATGTCCGCTCGCAGAGATCTATCTGTTCTCAAGTCCATGGACAAAAGCAAGGCCTGTCTCCACTGAACCCCCGCAGCTATTGCAGCATTGTAGGAAATCCCGTCAACCGTCCCTGTTGCCCGCATTTGTAAAAGCAGCCCCAAGGCCAATTGCCACTGGTTGCCCTTCTGCACTGCACTGATCACGGCATTCTTGGTGATTGCATTTCCTTGCATTCGCATCTGAGTAAGTTCCCTGAGCAAAAAGCAAGCCTCTTGCCACTGACCTCCCTTCTCACACGCACTGATCGTAGCGTTGCAGCTGACTAAATCAGCAACCAATCTAGCTGAGAAGATCTGTCCATATATATGCAGGGCTTCTTGCCATCGTCCTGACTTTTCGCATGCACTGATAGCACTGCTGAAAGTGATGATATCTCTTTGCAATTGCACTGCTTGTGCTTGAACAAAGAGATGCAAGGCACACTGCCACTGGCTTGACTTTTCGCAAACACTTGTGGCAGAATTGTACGTAATGATATCAACTTGGAGTCCTCGACATTGTGCCTCTTCCAGCAAAGCCATTGCCCTTTGCCATTGTGCGCTGCCCTCACAAGAGCTCATTGTTACGTTGTACATGATGATGTTTGGTTCGGAACTCATTTTCCGAATCTGGCCAAGCAAATGCAAGGACCATTGCCATTGTCCTCCTTTTTGGCAGCAAGCGATTGCAGCACAATATGCGACCGCATCCGCCCTGATCTGACATCTGTCCATGGCTTCCAGCAAATACAGTGCGCAATTCCAACGCTCTCTGCCCTGGCAAACGCCTAAAGCTGAGCTGTAGGCAATTACATCTAGTTCGAGCGTGTCATTGGCAAACTCTTCAAGAAGCCAAAGGCCTTCACGCCAACGTTCCTGACTGCATGCTCTTAAGGATGAATTCCCAGTGATCACGTCAGCTTTCAAGCGTTTGTCATGTGCCTCAGAGACCAACTGTAAAACCGCAGCCCAGACGTCCTTGCGTAAAGATGCTCCAGCTGCTGCATTGTAAGTGACGACGTTGGCCTCCAAATGTACCTCCACAAGTCGATGAAGCAGGTGCAAAGCCTCAGGCCACTGTTTGGTCTTGCCAAATCTGCTGATGGCAGAGTTGTACTCGGTGAGTTTCGACATCGCTCTGCCTCATGGGATCTGAAGTGACGAAACATCGATCAGTGCCAGCCACCAGAGCTTTTGCCGCCATCGATCAGTGCAAGCAAAGGAATCACAAGTCGTGCGAACGGGTGGCAGCTTTTGATCTGAAACCGGAGCAAGTTCAAGAACTTCAAAGCCCAAAGTTTCTTGTGAATTTGAACGTCTTGGTCCTTGAATGTCCTTGGGTCAATATAGAGAGTGCTTGATCTCTTGAGACCAGTGGCCTGGGTGACTAGCCAACCGGCTGTCGCAATGCCCAAGCCACCACAACCACCACCTCAACAGGCTGAAGCAAGAGAATCTTTGATCGTCTGCCTCTGACAGGATTTTTTATCCCGAGTACCTATTTAAAACGGACCTTATTTAAAAAAAACATGTCAGAAGCCCCTAAATACGGCTTGTATTCGCTTTTAAATTACTGCCCTTTCAATCCGCTACTGAACTACCAACATTGCCGATTTTGGAGTGTGTTTTAAAATTTTAGGTTCCAAAAACAACCGTAACTGCCCACCTCTGTCCGCCCTGTCTGTCCACCATGACACGCCGTGCTTACACCAGCAGGCTTTCCTTCCCCCAATGGCACCGACTCACGCAAACGCACTTGCCACCGAGGTCATGCAAAACCGCATGGCATCACCTTTCGAAAGCTTTAGCTGTTAGTCTACTGAAGAATCCCTATTCTAATAAAGGTTTTTGTAGGGGAAAAGGAAGACCCTTCGATCTGGTGGGTTTTTGAATTTTTGATACGAGTTTATATAAAAATTTCCTGGGTTATTTTTTGTTTTGAAGCTCTTCCCAGGTGACCCTATTTTGGACCCCCCGATTTCAGGGACCCCCTATTTAAAAAAATGCGACCGAGGTTTCCTTATTACGCTTATTAGGGGGTGGGGGGGGGGCCCGTGTTTTTTAATTGGTGGACCGGATTAATTGACTCTTGTCATTCCAATCTTGATCCTGTAATTAACAGCTTCCTACAGTGAAGGCTCAAGAATGCCCTTTGGCAAACGTTTCCTTAAAGAACCCACTTCGCCAACTGACTCTGAGCCTACACGGTTGTGGATCATGGCACCAGGATCGTTGACCTACTTGATGTCGGTCGAACTCGCGCAGATCCCAGCGAACGAGGTCCCTGTTGAGGTCGACTGAGTCTCTCGATGAAGGCTGGGTGCCAAACTGATCAGGAACCAGCTGTGGCTGGGAAATGCCGGTGGCGGCCAAACTCCATGGGCCTCGTACACAAGAGCTGTGGTCGCAATGGTTTCCACCAGCCATCACATCTCAGTAGATGGAAACTTGATGAAGAGGTGACTTTCCTACCAAGCCTTTTTCATTTATATAATTAGGAGAAGCAGCTGGAATAGCAAACTGACTTTTACCGGTCGCCCTTTTCTGTGGCCTGACCTCAATCAACATCCGTGACTTGGCCACTGCCAAAAGGTACTGTAGTCACTGTAGCCTCTTCTACTTTTTGGCATTCTCAAAGATGCCCAGCCAAAGGGATCGAATGTTATGTCACCATAGCACTGACTTGCCACTTATCCTAGTTGCAAAATGTTGCAAGTCCGTGCAAGTCCCAGAAAACTGGTTTCTTGTCCAACCCCAGCTTAGCGAGCAGCAGGCATCTGGCTCCCCAAACCAGTCTGGCGCCTTCACCCTGGTCTGCTCCAACCGGGTGATGTGCCGCTCGACGTCGCCGTCCTCGCTGTCCTCGCTGTCCTCCTCTGCATCTGCCGCGGTCGTTCGAAGCAGCAAGGATGTCGTGTTTCTACTAGCTTCTTGTTACTACTAGCGTGTTCTTTGCAGAGCGTCCGCGCTTGTGTTTTGCGGTTGAACGCTTTGAGTACAAGTACAAGCTCAAGCATGTCACGCTGATGCATTCTAATGTGCAGAGTGATTGTGCTTTGCGTATAGCATGCGCGATATGCACTATCACTATCAGCCGCTGCTTGAGTGTCGCATTCAAGGGATATATAATTACGTAACCAGTTTCATGTTTGTTGTGTTTTTTCTTCGAAGGCTCCTTGGTTCTCAAAATGAAACAATGGCCACCATTCAAGCTTTTGTTTGATGCTCCTCACCACCAAGAGCGGAGCGCCGAACTAGGAGCTCTTGCTCACGACCGTCTTCCTTGCAGGAAAAACTGCCGTGCATCTGATTGTCTTAACCACCTCCAATGCAAAGCACGCCTTTCCAGCATTTCCTAAAAGCATCCGATAGGTAAGCTTATTCGGTACATCCCAGTCCTGGTTGGCGCATGCCCTCCGCAAGCGACGCCAAAGTCCCAGGGCGGAGCCAGTCACACCCGAGCTGCACCCTGCCTGGTGGACGTGCGACATGCTGACTCGGAGCAAAGTACAACATTGCTTACTTCAGCACAACGCTATTAGGTTGGAGGCCATCGCTACTGGGGTGGAGGCCATGGCTATTAAATCAACATTGCTTGCTCAAAGGCTGGGAGTGACCATCCAAAGCTCGAGTGTGGAATTTGGGAGTGCAAAGTGTATCAAAGTATCAGGTGATGAGGAGAACAGGAGCAGGCGGCAGGCTGCTGACAGAACATCTTTAGATTCCAACCTGACAGCTATACTAGCGGTACCCTGAGCTCCCCACGTCAATGCAGCCAACAAAATCCGAGCGTTGCTCGCGCCTCGTACCAGCACGGGAAGGTCGCCGGTTTGCCAGAATCTTGCTCAACCCGTACTACTCTGGGCGTACACTGCATTGCACGGCAGCATGAAAGAACTATCCGTTTCAAGTTGTTCGTGGGCGAACAAAAAAGTGAAATAAAAATTAATCGGAAGTCCACAAGCAAATATGCAGGATATCTCATCCAATTCATCCTGTCAGCATAGTTTGCTAGACAAAGAACAGGACGACACGACATCTAGGAATACGGATACGCCCTTTCTCTTGGAGGCCGCATAGTGCTAGAGTCTTCACCACAGGCTACACTGGCAACTTGCAAGCTCCAGTGACTCAATTCACAGGAGCTGGC